TAAATTAGTTTAAATCTACGTATTATAAAATGTTTCCTGTTTATTTTAAAGTGAAATATTAATCTAATCTGTTGTAATCCATTCATCCATTTTGAGGTAACGGAACTAACTACAATCTACAGTCTATCTAAAATCCAAATCTACAATCAACTTACTACAAAACCGTTACCTCCTAATAAAATGAAATTCGTATCACTCACCATCCGATGCAGCGGAGTTGACTTCATTGAAGCTACGTTGATCTGTAACATGCAAATAGAATATAAATTGTAGCAGCGCCTAAAATAAGTAATATGTAAAATATACAAATTTATCTATTAAATCTAATTTGAAACAAGTGTCCAAACTACATTTCAAAATGTAATTACATCATGCATTAAAATTTTCTTTTTATTAAATTGTTTCAAATAATAATAATATATACATAAAAAATAATAAATTATTCACTTTATGGTTATTTCACCGTCACTTGAATCCGCTCCGGATCTTCTCCTTCTCCTTTTTTATTTCACTATTATCGCTCTTTCGTGATACTCTCTGGAAAAAAACTAATTAATTACAATTACGCGCACATTAATCACACCCGAATATAATTAATGAGCGGTACTTTTGCACAACATTTTAATGGCAGATGACGCGATAACCATTGTATTAATACACTACACAATCGAAAATGATTAAAATATGATTTTAATACATGAAAATTATTGTAAGTATATGAGAGTATATCATGAGAGACAATGATTTCCATAAATTGTTAACGCTATTCCTATCTACTCAAGTAAATGTAGCGCGCAAAATGTCTTCTTCGACAAAAAGCCGTTGTCGCGATACGTTTAATCGGTTAATCAAATTAAATAATTGCGCAAGTTGATACTCACTAACCAACACATACTTGACCATGTTCGACGAGGTATTTTTCGCGATGGCGTCTCGAAAATTAATGCGACGCCGCGCCGTTGACTTAATAAGATACTCTGCGATTAATTCCTAAGCAAGCTTTCGATAAGGATAATACTAAACATAATGTAAATTCGATTATAAATACATGTAAAAGAATAGACTCGTCTCTAAACAAATACTCGAAAGACGGATAGAATAAAAAAGTATATCCATAATGGCCGATTATCTGAACCGAAAAGACGCTTGACCTTTTATTCTTATAATCTCCGTCTAATATGCCATAAAATATTCTCACAGTCTATTCAAGAAAACAATTCTATTGCGTATAATCGTATCTATTTGGTTCGATTATCTCTTTGTCGACTTACCTGTGCGGATATTACCGAAGCTCGCGATTTCTGCGTCTGTACCAAGCGCCGTATCCGCGGGAAAAGAGGAAGAAGCTGGACGTAACGTCTTGAAATCAGCGCCGGAATTACTTGTCCTGATTGGTCAAGCTTTAAAATAGTAATTCGCGGATATACCGAGCTGTCTCATTAGTGGATATATCGATACGTAATCGAAATTTTTAAAATCAGCCAATCAAGTCGAAGAAGTCGCACGAAATCTACCGAAAATCGCCGAGCAGTTCTCGAATATTTGGCGCGGGAATTAAAATCGTTTAAAGTCTTTATGCAAATGGACGTGATACGAGGTATCCACAATTAATATTTTTTCTTCAATCTAGTGTGAATAATAGTGTGAAAATGAACATTTATTATATGAACATTGATCATACGCATTTGAATTTTTAACAAAACTTTCAACTATCTCCAGTTGTCTTTAGTATGTATTATGATATGAAGAATGGTAACATCTCCCTTGTCACGGTTGTCGCAAATATTTCTAACAAGAAACAGCTCGAAAATCATGACCGTGCTCACCGAACCGTATACGAGAATCTGGGTGTTTTGTTCGCAACAGCAAAATTGAAGAATGCTTGATAAATAGACCAAGCTAGTTTCTAACCTGTTTATTTCGATATTCATACGCGTATGTAAATGAAAGCGAATCTTTCTATCCATCTTCACTTTCATTTTAATAATCAGATCTAACAAAAGAATGCATTCTTATCGTATTTTTTCATCTTATTTTTTATTTCTTAATCAAACATATTTAAATACTGTTGACTATAATACTTGATAATTATAATATTTGAAAATAATACTTTATTACGATACTTATGTTGTCATTTAGGAATGTTTACACAATTCAAGAAGAATTTTAGCATGGATCAAACATAAATACCACTGATACATCTGTAAAAACTATATAATAATACAGAGTAAGTGTAATAGTACAACAGATTTTATTTTAAAGAAATTCTATATGTTCTATATTTACATAAATAACACTTATAAACAGAAATATATTTTAAAACTATATTGTTTATTGATGAGGATATGATTTATAATATATGCAATCAAAAATTTCACAAATTTAAAATTTTTTTATTATATCTTAAAAGATGAAGATTATTTAAAAACAATTTTAATAAATTTGGCATTAAAGTAAAACTAGTACTAAATAAAAAATTAATTATGTAAGTTATTATACAATATTAATTACTGTGTGCATTATATCGATCTTAATGTATATAATACATTTGCCAGAGAAGTTTTTTTGGTTCTACTTCTAAAAATTGTAATTCGATATGTATATCATAGTGCAACGGTGTTACATAATCTTGTAAGGAGGATTTAATTGTTGGGTCCGGATCATTTTTCACTTCCCTTTCCCTTTTTGTACGAAATGCTTGTCCAATTATGAATATTATTAGACCGCTGTTTAATAACAGTCTTAGGAATATCATTCTCTTATCATAGGTATCTACAGAAACATTTTTTATGTTATGTAACAATATTTAAAACAAGAGATTATAATAATTTATATAAATTTGACATATTGGTATATTTATAACAATTTAGTTTATTTTGGTTTATGTAACGATAATCTTATTATACTACTATTTGTAATTACATTATTCGAAAAAAGTTATTATATAGAATACAATTATAATCTAGTTATTTTATACTCATATATATTGTGTGAAAGAGAGAGAGAGAGAGAATGGCCGTATTCCGATATTCACTGCCAGTACTGAAAATCTATAATATATGTGACGTAAACTATAGATTTTCAGTACTGATGGCAGTGAATATGGGAATGCGGCCAAAGAGAGAGAGAGAGATTTTTATCTACATATCTTATATATATTATATATGTATATTCTTATTTTCCTTTGCTTTGCCTCGAGTGACTCCTGAAATAATATAATATCAAGCAGTTCTCTTGCTTGAAAAAAGATTGTTTTTGAAATGTTTTTAATCTTATGAAAAAAATAGCTATAGCCTTTATAATTTTTGGTGTTAATGCCTGTGATATTCGATCATATTCTTAAAATATATATTTATAATAGCTTTACGCGGCTTAAATAATTTATCTGATTATTTTATATTTTGCATTAAAAAGCATGTTCTAATTATATTATTTTTTTATATAATTTGTAATATAGAAATGTCTTTTACAAACGTATCAAAATGTGTAGTACAGTTTATGAGTCTCACTAATAACTTAAGATATAAAAATTTGAAAGTATACATATATACATATATAGGAAGAACCGTATGCAGTCAAGTCAGCGAATTATTGTTCGTTAACGGAATAAAGAAATGCAGAATACTATTTTTTGAAATAAAACTTTCCATAAAAATAAATTTTATACAAAAAATATGTGTAAAAAAGGAAGAAGAAAAAGAAAAGGTAGCGATCTTACCTTTTCCAAAAATCACTGAAAACTAATGAATTTCATATATCTGGCACGTTATAAAATATAATGTAAATAAATTCTAAGGTCGTTAATGATTGTCTGTCTCTTTAGATTATAAATACAATCAAGTCTCAATATATAAACAAATAAATTCACATTTTGTCATTATTATAAACGATTTTGTTGTAAGTATAAATCGTTATATAAATTGTTGTACAGATTGTAATAAAAAGTTTGTAATTTTTTCATTAATCCGAGTTTAATTTTTCGTATGATTACTAGTAGATATCTAGAAATACAAATACATATACAAATTGTTTCCCTCTCTCTTTCTCTCTATTTAAGAACTAATTTGTTGATATATAGCATTTAAGTATTGCAGATTGGAATGATCACATAAAGTATAAGGCATAGCCACGCAAAAAAATAATAAAACTCATAAATATTAAATTCATAAAATGCGTTTAATATTAAAAATACAGACATGGTATATTTTATAATATATAATTATAGATATATATGGCCCTAGAACTTCAATCCACATTTAAACTCGTAAAACTTTTTCCATATATCTATTTTAAAATAAACTTTCTATATTAAATTTTCGAAAAAAATCTAAATCTTTTTTTAAAGAATTAATTTAAAAAAAATAACGCATACAAATGCGAATTTCCGATGTTGTAACAAAATTCGGAAGTTTTGTAAGCTATAATATCATATCGATCAATATCTCACTCGCAAGTGTATTCTCGAAAAATATAAATTATTTATTAATACTTGAACTTTATATTCATATAGTATAATAAAATCTCGAAATATTTAAATTCTTTATATATATAGTATGATATGAAACTTTCAATAAACTTAAGAATAGAACAGAATTTATAATTCATCTTTTATATATTAGTTTTATTTCTCGCAAAAACGGATGAATTTAGTTTTCGTACGCTTCCTAAAAATAGTGGGAGAGTGATTGGTTTATGTTTAATTTCGAATATAAACGATAAAAAACATCACGCATAGCTAATAAAACATTAATAAATAATCTATAATATTTCTCCGCAATTTTGATCCACAATTATGGATCTAGCACGGACATGCACCAATCGACCCTTTTACCATGGCACCAAAAAGTGAATCTGGCTATGTAGTTCCGCCGGCTCTAAAATGGATTTAGTTGACGCTACTGTATCAGCTAGAAAAAGTGTTTTATGGAAAACGGCGGCGTGACCCCTCTCAGGCTTCTCTCCGGTATAAGAAAGACTTACTCCAGTCTCCTTGTTATGACACTATAGAGCTCATTATCTATGGCTCCACGTTGACACACGTATGTATCGAGGAAGATCTGAGATCTGAGATCTGAATTGAAAAACATGGCTTCGAAGGAAAATAACCTTGTTTTACTGTATACGGAATTAAACAAATTAGGACAGAACGGGGAATACGAAAGGGCCTTGAAAACTGCGAACAGAAGTAAGTTTAATTATTTATTGAAATAATGAAAACTAAGTCAATAATCATCGTAAAAATAATCTTGCTCGATTTTGGTGTAATGTTTTTATATCGTTTCACACATATTTTCATAAAATTATATATCGTGCTTTGAAATAATTTACTTACGGTAAAAGTATTCCAAAGTGAGAAAAACATGTCGTTTACATAAAGCTATGAAATAATTCATACTCCGCCGTTTAGTTTTAGGCATTTCTCAAGATGAAGAAGCAGCGTTTCACTATAAAGTTGTTTGCTACATCCAGCTGTCCAAGTTCAACGATGCGTTACAAGCTATCGTTAAAACCCCGAAATTAGCAACGTATGATGATACTATTTAATAATATTACTTAATATTACAATAAATATAATATTTTTATGACATAAATTTTATTTCTAACTTAGGAATCTAGATTTTGAAAAAGGATACTGTCTCTATCGTTTAAATCAAATTTCTGAAGCATTAAAAGTGATAGAAAATGTGCAAAATCCTTCCCTGAAAATCAAGGAATTAAAAGCCCAGGTATTATATCGTCTAGAGAGATATGAAGAATGTTTCACGATATACAGAGACATTATTAAGAATTCACACGATGACTATGAAGAAGAGAGGGAAACAAATCTTGCAGCTGTTCTTGGAAACTTAGTGATTGAGGGTTCTGTAAGTTCAATGCAACTTAGTAAATTAAGATCTTAATTAAGATATTGATATAGAGCTTTTAATACAAGAATGTTTCTAAAAATATATTGCAAATAATTTCTAGGATTTAGAAGTTCCTTCGTTACATGAACACACTTATGAATTAACATATAATGCAGCATGTAGTTTACTCGCACAAAGAAACAGGGATGATAGAACTGTTTTAATAGAAGCAGAAAAAAAATTAAGAGCTGCTGAGAAATTGTGTAAGGAGGGTTTAGAGGAAGACGGAGCATCCGAAGAAGAAATTGAAAATGAATTGGGTATAATTCGTGTACAGCTTGGTTATTGCCTGCAATTGCAAGGTCGAGAAAAGGAAGCGCAAACATTGTACACTGCTGTTCTAAAAGCCAAGCCAGATGACATCGCATTGATTGCCGTAGCCAATAACAATTTAGTATGTCTGAATAAAGATCAAAATGTGTTTGATAGTAAAAAGAGAATGAAAAGTGCCACTCATGAAAATCTAGAGCACAAATTAACTTCTAGGCAAAGAAGAAACATTGCATACAATCAGTGTTTATTAGCGTTTTACACAGATCAAGTGAGTCTTATAATACATTTATAATATCATATCTATTAGTTTTTTGTTATTTGCAAAGAGATGATACTCATTACATTTCCAGGGAGAGCAATGCCACCAACTGTGTAATAATCTTGCGAAAGATCATCCTACACTTGCAGCAGATGCAATGTTCATAAAAGCTGTACAACTTAGCAAGGAAGGTAAAGCGAAAGAAGCGGCGAAGTTATTGACCGAGCATGCGGTCGGCGAGAAGGAATTGCCTATGAAATTGGCTAGCGTGCAAGTTCTTCTGAGTCATGATGAAAGAAAAGAGGCAATCGCTATTCTTGAGAACATAAACGAAAGAGATAGATCTCTATCTGGAATAGTCAGTGCACTCGTTACGCTTTACATGGCTGACAACGATCGGGAAAGAGCGTCAGCTGCTCTAAAGAATGCAGTCGCTTACTATAAAAAACACAATGTGCGTGTTCAAGATATATATATATGTGTGTGTGTATGTAGTTAGTCTCTTGCGCAGCACTTTTTACAAGAAAGATTTCATTTTAGGAAACCACTAAAAATGTGGGAGAATTATGGCGGCAGGCTGCCAATTTCTACTTACGCGGTGGCGAGCTCAAGATCGCTGCCGACATCCTACAAGAATTAGTAGATGCTTCGCCATCTGATACCAAGACTTTAGCTCAATTAGTGGTCGCTTATGTACAGTTCTGTCCTACTAAAGCGCAGTCGTTATCTAAAAGATTACCACCGCTTCACGATCTTGCTGAAACTACCGACGTTGACGCATTGGAGAGTAGCAATTGGGTTATTGGGACTAAAGTCGTGAAGAAAAAGATTGAACCTTCTCCTGGGTAAATATAATAAAATTATTTCAGTCACAACACTTACATACCAAGTATTCGAAAATCATATGTTTTGATTCTTTACCAGTAAACCAGTGTCGGATGTAATTCAAAAGAAGCACAAGAAACGTAAACGCATTCGTAAATTACCGAAGAACTATGATCCAGACGTTCCGCCTGATCCAGAACGATGGTTACCGAGACACGAACGCAGTGGATTCCGTAAAAAGCGGGATAGAAGGAATAGGGATGCCGCTATGAAAGGGACACAAGGAGCCGCTACAGGAGCCAGTGACCTTTAGTACGTATATGCGAGCACGATATATTTTCTTGTTATAGTAAATACACGTGATAAACTATTTGTTTAAAAAAAAAACTAATAATATATTTTACACCACAGCGACATTACGAAAATGCCTGCGAACGCTAAACCTTCTCCGAATCCTCGTCATAGTCCTGCAGTTGAAACATCCGGACCACGTCAGCAACAACGCAAAGTCCAGCAGAAAAAAAAGAAGAAAGGTAGCAAGTGGTAATGATTATTTCATTTCTATATTGATTTCTCATGTTTTGATGTATAAATTAGATTACATAGCGTTTTCATGGAAAGGGAAAAAAACGTTTTTTACCATAAATATGAACTAAAAAGGATTTGCTACCGTGTAGCTGTATTTTACGAAACGGAAGTTGTAATACTGCCATTAAAAAGAAATGGAAAAGATATAAACATGAAACATAAAAGGAATTTGTTATAATTTTTAATATAATTTTTTATGTATCAATTTAGTGTCCATTTATCAATAGACCTTTGAATGCAATTAAGATTCTATCGTCGTATATTATATATTGTCAATGTATCTTTTCTTTTATACTTTGCAAATGTTACTTTTCAAAGAAACTCAAACAAATATGTATCTATATTGACATTATGTAAATATAGAGAAAATTGAATTATGCTATAGAAAATATATATATCTTTATTTTTATTCTTCAAGAAAAATCCTTTTATTCAAGTCGTGACATAATATCAATCAACACACATAGGTAATATCTTTGCATGTATATATGTTGACTAGGGATAGGCAACACACATCTTTATTTCATATCGGTAACAACTGTATATAAAAATACAATCCATTTTCGTTATACTCAGCAATTCTGTAATATGAATAGATAAAGTGATTGTGCGTCGATTTGTAACATTTGTATTATGTAAATATAACAGATATATAAGGGGCCTAAGTCAGACATATAAAATTTTTTTTATTCTGCAATATATAATTTTAATTGCAAGAGTTAAAGCAATCTGAAATTATTTAAGAAATATTGAAAGTGCACTTATGCAAATAACTGTATTTATTTACTACACCAAGTATATATTTATTAAGTATTTATTTATTTAGACATTATACATCAAGACATCTTGGTGTACTATTGGAAAAGAAATTGAACTATATAATTATATATAATAAATTATATATATATATGTATATATGCTATGATTACCTCTTCAGTAAATATATTGTGTTGTCGGTCTCTATAAAACTTTGTAAAGATATATTTTGATATATCACTATGTGATGAATCGATGTATATGTGAAAGAATTCTATTGCCTCTTATTGTCTCGCAATTATTCTATACTATATATTATCATATATGTTGCTGTGTATAAACTCATAACAATATGTGACAAATATTAAAATAATATAAAAAAGTTGTCCCAATTTTTTTTTTATCTATGTATATGTAAGTCATACTACATTTATAATTTTGATATTTGTGGTTTTACTCTGTGATTTTGTGGTTTAACTCTGTAAAAAATTATGACTTTACACTATAATATTTATTAAAAAATAAATTAAATTCTTGCATGACAAAGATATAAAATGGTGCATGGTTAATCTTCTTTACTACGGTTCTTTCTTTATGATATTACTAAAATGATATTGTCTTGATAATTTTCTTAAGATAAATGAATATTTACCAACCACAAAATATTTGCATGCCAAACTCATCTAGTGATAAATTATCGCGATTTTTTTAATTGACAAAAAAAGAAAGATGTATGTATATGTTTCTTGTATATGTTTAATTTGCTGTTTATCAATATAAAGAGGATAGATGAGTAAGGCACAAATATACACACGCGCATTACAAATTTCTTACTGTAAAATCTAAAACATTTGTTAACACGTGGGTAACGGGTATTTTCCAGTAAAATACACAGATGACAGTGTGACAATATGTTTCAACTTTGACACAGTGCTCTCTCTCTCTCTTTATACATTTCTCAACACTGTGAAAAACTAAATACAAATGTGTAACGTGTCTATGTTATCAACATTTTAAGAAATTTTATATTTAATATTAAACAAAATATAATTTTACGATTTATCATCTGTATAGTTTATATAAAAATAAAATCAAAACAAGATTAAAAATATTCTGATTAAAATTTAGATTAACCTTAAAAATTATTGATTATTAACATATTAATAATCAATAATAGATTATTACATTAATATTCTTTTAGTGTTGCAATAATGGTCTGTTATGTAATCCTCCCTCTTCTTTTTTTAATGATCTGTTTTATTGAAAAAATAAAAATATCCGATCGAATAGGATGTAGCAATAACACTTGTTATATTGTTTGTATTTGTAACATTAAAAATGGAAAACTGTAATGCACTCTGATGATTCTCTTAAAAACTAAATTTGGGATTTCAACCATTCCAGCAAGTACCTTACATGTGTAACACAATGTGAATGTAATGTGTTCTTGCTTAGAAAAGACCCAACATTATGCAAGCCTTGCAATGCGGGCTATACAAACTATGTAGCCACAAACGCATTTTCAAGAGGAGCAATGTCACCAACTGTATAATAATCTTGTGAAAGATCATATAGTAATACAGCAAGGTATAAACGATCCCTGTAAATATGCATTAGCAATGCATAATATAGATGTTACTTCGCAGGTATTATGCCTTCCCAGACATCCTCTCGCTGCTTATTAGCTAATCGTCTTTTCTCTGTAATGCAGGAATTTCTTTCTCAGTAATTTCTTTCAAATGTCATATTATTTCTTTTTACATTGTTCGTAGAATTAACACAATTTACCTTTTGCTTCACGCAGTATATTCTTCTCATGCTCACGTTCTTGTCTGGCTGTAGCAAGTTTCACGCCCAATGCACCTGTAACTAATCTTCTAGCCAAAGCGGCACATGTTTCGGGCCGATTTCTATAAGGTTGCAGAAATTCTGCTGTTCTTCTGGCTTTCGTTTTACTCAAGGCGGTGGCTTCGCTAAGCGGTCTCGTTTTCACAAACGGATGATTTGACGCTAATACTTCGGCAGCTTAAAAAAGTAATGAAAAAACCAAAAAAAAGCAATATAATTAATTGCGATACATCTGATTATAATTAGTTTAAATAAAACGGTTTTCAAATACCGTCAATGATAAATATATATATATTACGTCAATTGTCGTATCATTAGTATCAAATACAAAATATCAATAAATTTTTTCGAATATAATTTTCTAATTAATATTCGTTTTTAAACTATTTTAAATAAAAATTATTACAAATTATATATTACACTATTTTAGTACGGTCAAACATCTCTATTCTTAATACATATAGAAAATAAACTCTCTATTTTTCTTCACTTTTCCTGTATTCTCTAATAAGTTTTAATAGCACATGTGCAAAATGAAACTATCTTTTAATAATCTGCATTTCATGACATTTTTATTCTATGCATGTATGGAATGTAGCAAATATGTCGAGCATATAAAAATACTAAGAATAGGGAGGTTTGACCATTAAAAGTATAAAGTATAAATTATCAAATATATGTATGTATACCAACGAGAGGACTGCTGAAAACTCCTAAACAGTGGGTATCGTCCACCCACTTTAGTTCAAAGCCACCATTCTTGAAAGAACTGAAGACAGCCGCCAAATCGCTAGTTTTGAACTCGGAGGGAAAATTGTAAATTTCTACAACGTGCGCAAACTCGTCACTAGACACTTCGACCTGTTTGCTATATGCCTTGTAATCATTCTTTGGTTGTTCTATCGTCACTTCGCCTACCGCCGATGTAAGCTAGATAGAAAGACAGCGTGCATAAATAAATTAATTACAATAACAATGCTACATTAATTAAAATGTTACAAGTAACAGAATAGACACGCTAGATTAAATATTAATGTAAACGCATAAGATATGTACTGACCTCTTCTATTAACGTTGGATCCAGACAATCGCCATTATCATCGAACAAACTGTCCCAATCGCATTCGTCTCGGTTTATTTTTATAGGTGGAGATGGCGGTGGAACCGGTTTGCTCTTTTGCCTTTCTATCTTCTTCACTTTTTTCTCAGGTGGTATTACAAGAATCGGAGAGATTTGTTCGGATCGTTCCGGTTTTTTTTGCATATTATCAGAAATTATCAGAATGTCCGGTACTATATTCTGTCCAACCAATTGCCTATTTTCATTGTCTATCGTATTGTTACAATCTAAATGTTGCACTGAGAAGCGGTTTTCTTTCACGGTCGCTTGTGTCGTTTTTACCAATTCATCATTAATTTCGACTTTGTCAGATGATCTTGATACATTAAAATTAGTGCTATTTTCATTAGAATTATCTGCCGCGATAGTTTCCCTCTCTTCCG